GACATGCTGATGAATCTTCGTAGAGGATTGCGTGGTGGCTGCTGGGGTCGAACCTGATCGCAATCGAGATGGAAGCTTCGACGATGCGTGCTCACCGACTTGATAGCAACGCCCTTGAACACTGCGCAAGGTCGTCTCGCGCCGAAGAGCGTCCTCCCTATCGCACTGGCAGCTGTCGTGGTCGAAATGGTCGTGTGTGGATCGTACCCAGGCGGATGCGGCTCGAGAGTGTCGCTGTGATTGCGGTCGTTGTTGAAGAGCAAGATGGTTGCTTCTAGCAAGGTCAGCTGCTAGCTCCGTGCGCAGCAACCCCGCCTTCCGACATTTTTTAGACTCACCTCAGCTGCAGGTCTCCCGGAAATTGACGTGCTCAGGGTGCTCTGTTGCGTTATCCTCACCGCGGCACAAATCGACTCTGCCGCGCCGGTCCACCGTTGAAGCTTGACATCGGACTGAGTGAAGCCCGCTCGTCGAAGGCTCGACCTCACTGATAAGCGGCTGAAGGTCTTGACTGTTACCAGCTGATGTCGCTCACCATCGTTGCACACGCTCGCAGCCTGAACTTATCTCGTAATGAAGGGGTATATATTGTAAACATCTCCATCCTCACTCATCCTCCTCTTCCTCCTCGATGATCTGTACGGGCTTGTGGAACCCCGCAATCCTGCTTCCTGCCTGTTGCTGTCCTGCTTGCTGTTGCTGCTGTGCTTGTGGCGCGACTGATTCGGCCTTGGCAATGCCCAATCCGGCCGTCGCTGTCGTACTGCCCTCGCCGACCTCGCCCAGGCTGCCCATCGGAGCTCCAGTCTTCGGCGGCGAGTGCAGCGTGGTGGAGAGCGTCTTGGGAGCAAATTCGTTGCCCAAGCTCAATGACACTTGGTTTGATCGCGCAACGAACGCCGTCGGGGGAGGTTGGAAGATGTTCCTCACCCCCGCATAGCGCGACGAGAACGGCGCTGCGCCACGCAAGGCGTGTGCAGATCCGGATCCGGACGAGTCAAAGCTGCTCGAGTGTAGACTCGAGTATCCCGTGCTGTTGCTCAGCGCTGCAAAGTTGCGCGTGGCGTACGGCGAGGAGGAGGCGACACTGCTTCGAGTCACCGTGCTCGACATGGACGAGTGCGAGCCCAGCTGACCAAGGCCGCCCGAGTAGGTCTGTTCCTCCTCTTCGTCCGTCCAGTCATCGTCGTCCCTATTCGCAAAGACGTCTCGCAGCTTGGGCTTGCCATCCGTGCCATCGCCGTCAGCAGATGCTCTGCCAGCAGGGGCCTGGATCGGAGGCGGCGGGTCCACAGGTCCAGCCCAGCACGGCGGGGGCCGACCCCAAGAGTGTCTCCATGTTCCAGTGCCTGTCGCTGGAAGCCCTGACAAACTGCCAGGCACCACAGCGGGAGGACCGTCCGGATTGCCAAATGCACCGCCTCGGCTCGAGAGCTGAGGCGAGCCGCGAATGTGACTCCCGTGCAGGTGCGGATTGGCAGAAGGCGGACCGTACGGCGAACGTGTCTTGTGAGCGACAAAGATGCTCTGTGCGACCACATGTTGGTGACCCGAGTGGATCGCCTCGGCAGGGTTACGCGTGTCAGGTCGTCCGCCGATCTCGAGCGAATGACGAGGAGTACTGCGGTGAGACCGCCTTGCGCCCAATGCACCTGCTTCGCCATCCTGGTCAGCGTCCGCGCCCAACTCGCTCACACCCGTTACCACACGTCCGGGAGACGAGCCGCGCGATCGGATCGACGAAGGCCGCGAGTCGTGACGGAATGAGTTGTGGCGACTGGGACTGCCTGACGACGACGCATAAGTGCGATGCCTACGTACCATGGCGCTGCCATCGTGGCTCGGTCTAGGATGACGACGTCCGCTTCCCGTAGAGTAGACACTGCCTGCCTGGCCAGGGCGATAGGCCGAACTCGTGCTTCCCGTCGAGCCTGCCTTGCCGTGCAGCCCCGACCGCGGCGCGGCGTTGGAATGCGCGAGCGAGTGGGAGCTGCCTGGCCGACTGGGACGCGAGGCACCGGCCGGCGCTCCCATGTCGGTGACATAGTCACCATACAGCGTGCCAGTGGGCGTGATGCTGCCTGCACTCAGCCTTCGTATGTTGGCCGGTCGATTCATGCTCTGCTGGAAGCTGTTAGGGGGTGGATCAAAGTGCGCCTGATACGAGCTGCCATTCGAAGATCGGCGACTGACGGTACCAAGGTTCGGGCTGCGGGGTCCATTGCGACGGGGAACACCGGTCTGCTGGTAGAGATTCGATCGGCGACGAACACTTGCGCTTCGGGAAGGCGTTCCAGCAGCAAACGTAGAAACACTTCCGGAAGCGCCGAGCGTGCTCGCAGGTGACCTGGTTGCGCTGGCACCATCCTCGACCCCAATATTGCGGTACGCTGGGGTGCCCTTTTTGCCTGCCTTTGCTTTTCTTGTTGGCTTTTCGTTGCCGCCGAGCCAGGTCCGCACCGTTGCAATGAAGGATGAACCGGCCTTGCCACGCGAGGCTTGCTTTTCGCTTCCTTGCGGCGTCCCCGACAGGGTGCTGAAGGAGTCCTGGGATGCTGAAAGCAACGTGCCGTCGCCCTTTTCGCGTGCAGAGCCTGCATTCGATTGCTTGATCGATTCGGGGAGGGACGGCGACGGTGAAGCTGAATCTGCACGGCGCTCCATGCCCTTGACGCGGTCCAGATCCGTCTCGGCGCCTTGTTTGCCAAAGCTTTTGCGCGGCTTGTCTAGAATCTCGGCCGGGGTCCTCTTTGGCGTCGAAGGACTCGAGAGGATGCCCAACATCGAGTCTTTGACATTGGAGACAGTATTGCGGCGGCCAAAGAGAGCAGAGCCTCTGCCACCTTCTAGAGGCAGCGCTTCGCCGGCAATGACGACCTGGTCGTGAAGCGGCAAGGGAGGCGGTGACGTGCGTCCTTTGTCTTTGGCACCGAGCATGGTTTGCGCAAACTGCTTCATCGAAAGCGAATTGCTGCGGGGGCGACCCGTGTGTGAATTGCGTCTCGCTTTCGATCCTTCTGACGTTGGGCTGCCTCCGACCAATGTGGTTGCCATCTGGTGCAGCTTGGAAGGGCTGGCGACAGCGGCGGCAGTCGTATGGCGATGTTGTGAAGTCGGTCTGTGGGCTGCAGAGTCCGGGGCGCTTGTAACGCTTCGGTCGTTGATCAAGGGACGTGTCGCTGCAGCTGTCGGCTCGATAGGCATAGAAGAGGACGGCGGCAACGAAGGATCGCGATGCGCTACCGAAGTGACTCCTGGCATGGCTTCCGAAGCGGATGCATGAAGGGCAGGAAGCGGCGACACATCGAGCACCTCATGCGACACAACCGTCTGCAGACGCCGATTTGTCACTTCTGCCAGGGCCGAGTTTTCGGATTTGGAAGGCGGCAATGATGATCTTGGATACGCTCGCGGTTGCGACGTGTCCTCAGACAATCTTGCTGGATCTTTGGCAGGGAGCGAAGGCTGCCGGAAATGGGAAGCCGTTTGACTCGGAGCGGTGGATGCAAGAGGTGATGCCAGGTCAACGGTCGCAGGAGCAGCTTCGAACGCTGGTGGTACCACGGCAGGTTGCTCCTTCTGACGGTCCTTGGCCTTTCGCAACAGCATCCACCACGTTGCACCGCTTGCATCACAAGCGTCCGTGACGACGCTATGCACCATCTGTCCTACATCCATGCCGAGCGCGTCGAGCTGAGTGAGCAAGGTTTGTTCCACGACAGTGGAGAAAGTGGCGGGTTGAAGATTGGCAAGCTGCGAGATGTAGTCGACCGGCTTGCGTCCCAAGAGGGGAGGATGGTGATCGGACAGTGCGCTGGACGAGAGTGATCGACGTTTTGTCCTGGACGGAGTGCGATGGTGACCACGAGAAGAGCCTTGCGATCCTCGCTTGGCCAAAGGAACAGACTGATACAAGGGCGCTTGTGCGTCTTCGGCGTCAGCGTCCGAGCTCGTGGGCAGCTCGTGATGGGTGGGTAATGACGTGGATGTGGACTTGATCGAGTGTCTGTGAACACCGCCAATGGAAGCATCGCTGCCGTTGGAGCCCAAGCGCCGAATGGTGGTCTGAGACTCGTTGCGATGCAAGCCCATGGCGTGCTTGCTCGTTTGTGGTGCTGCATCCGCGTCAGCAGGAGCAGGATCCTGCGGTCCTGCGATGGTTGAATCCATCCCGTCTCCGGCGGCTGCGATCTCATCTGTGCGGCTGAGGCTGTCTGCAGTGGTGGGGTCGGTGAAGTCGGTGGTAGACGAGCGACGGTCACTCGATTCGCTATCGCTGCGACCAGAATGGTAGCTTCGTTCCGATATCGCTGTTATGACTGCGTGATGCTTGTGTGCTGCATCCAAGGGCTCGTTGTCGATCTGCGGAGCGACAGCCGGAGCCACGGCATCGGCCTGGTCTATGTGTGACTCTGCAGGAAGACCATCTTGCGGCGCCGATGCTGTCGCCTGTGAGGCATGCTTGCTGTCAAAGTAGTCTGCAGCTTTCTCGTCTTCCTCGACGGTGGACATGGGAGTGTGGACCATGGTCTTCATGAACCAAGGGTGTGTCAGGATGGAGTGGATGCTTGGGCGCTTGGTGGGATCCTGCTGGAGTATCGACGTAACGAGGTTGTGCGCTTCTTCGGAGAGGCTTTCTGGGATCTCAAAGTCGCCTCTGAGAATCTTGTCCTTCATGACGGATTCGTCGTCATCATCGAAAGGCAAGGCTCCGCACAGAAGAGCGTAAAGGATGACACCAAGCGACCAGACGTCGACCTCTGCGCCTGTGTACTTCTGGCCGGACAGCATCTCGGGAGCTGCATAACCGGTGGTGCCACAGAAGGTGTCCATGAGACGCTTGGCCTCGAATTCGCGGGTGAAGCCAAAGTCACCGAGCTTGACATTGCAACGCTCATCGAGGAGAATGTTCTCGAGCTTGAGATCTCGATGGACAATACCTTTGCTATGAACGTAGGCGACGGCAAGACAAAGCTGGCCAAAGATTCTGCGAGCTTCAGGCTCTGCAAGCACTTCGTTTTCGACGAGGTAGTCGTAGAGCTCGCCGCCGGCACAAAGTTCGCTGACCATCCATATGTACTGTTCTGTTGCGATGACTTCGTAGAGCTGCATGACGTTTGGATGGTGGAGTCGTCGATGGTGGTGGATCTCGCGGGTGAGGCTGGCAGACTGAGCCTTGGGTATCTGTTTGATAGCGACGCGTGTGTTGGTGAGACGATGGAGTCCGAGACGGACTTTGCCAAAGGTACCTTCTCCGATGGGACGCTGTAGGGTATAGTTGCCGACCATCTTGAGTTTCGAAGAAGCGAGCTCCTTGCCCAGCTCTTGGTAGGCCGAGGCAAGAGCGGCCTTCTGATTGATGGTGGAGCCGGCACCGCCATTCTGGCTGCCATGCTGATAAGCTCTGCGAGCGCTAGACTGGCTCATGGTGGCGATGCTGCTGTGCGCTTAGAACCTGGCTTGGTGCATCCGTTCAAGAGGAGCTCATTGGTGATGATGAGGCCATGTGAGCTGTGGGCGCGATATGGCAGTGCATGGTCCCAGCAAATAAGGGCGAAAGCGCGAAACACCTTTGGCTGATCTCGACAAGGAAAGGCGTGGTGAAGCGATGCGATGCGCGATGAGTCTGGCGCTTTTGTCGGTCGCGGATGATGCTGATCAGGAAGGAGCGAGATGGTTGAGAATGGGCAGCGATGGTCTCAGATTGACAGTGAGTGCACTATGCGGCGACTGCTCTGGCTGAGCCCAAAAGGTGACAACCGCCAGTCGGATCGGCTAAGAAGGCCCGACCAAAAATAAATGCAACTGCAGCTCGCCCAATCTTTCCTTTGACGGTCCGCGTGGGAGCGTGACAAAGAGCGGCTGATGAAGCATGCCAATCGGTGGCAGCATGGATGCAGCCAACGCTACTTTGTGCGACACGATGCTGTATGAAGAGAACCTCGTGCTCCTCTCTAGAACAGCCCGTATATGTAAGAGATCCTATTGGTCGCGTCTAGTCTCAATCGAACCGGGTTCGGTGTCCTGGACGAGAAAAGCTGCTGTTCGCAAAAGGTGAGATTGCGCGACTAATGTACAAATGAGGATACCGAGGTGCTGACAGACGGTCGCAGACGCCGCAACGGAACAAGTCTGAGAAGCTGACTGGTAATGGTGGCGTCCTTGCCAAGTAAAAGAAGTGCTTCAGAGACCTCCCTGCAAGATGCGCTGTGCGACTCGCTCCTTGAGGCTCGAGTATGCGCTCATGATTGTTTGCTCGTTGATCTGGATCTCGTTGACGTCCGGTCGGGGTCGAGACACACGTGATGCGATGGTAGTGCTGTCCGTCTCGAGAATGATGCCGTCGTCCACCGTCTCGTCCAATGCGAGCGTGACCAGATCCAAGTTTTCCAAGATGGCACGCTTCTCCACCTGATGACGCACCAGCATGCTCGTCGCATCGTAGAAAGCGCTCAGCACTCCCGACAACATCAGTTCGTTCTCCGCTGCGGGTCCGACGACGTAGAAGATGACATCGAGCGAAGCCTTGAAAAGGATCAGATGCGAGTCGTAGAGCACAATGTCGCCCGTCGCTCGTTTTGTCTTATCAAAGATGGCCTTCTCGAAGGCGCGCTGCTCCTTCAATGTCGCCAATGGGTTCTTGGCTGCGAGCTGCGGTGTTGTGGAAGTAATTGCGTTCTGCTGTGCGGGAGTGGCTGTCGAGAGGAAGCTGGCAGCATGCGGAGGCTGGTAGTATTTGGCGATGACTCGGTTTCCATCGGTGTCCAGGATCAATACCGCCGAGGTGGTGTATAGTGTCAGGTTGTTGAATGTCATCGTGTATCAGCGTCGCCGCAGTTTGTGAGGCGAGTAGACGCTCTGAAGGGGGTTGGTGAGACGGAATGGTGTTGGTCTCGAGAAAGCTTGCTTGCTGGATGAATTCGGTTGACGGGCGCCTTCTTGGCTTGAGCGCATTTCCAGCTCACGCGTGCCCGCTGCTCAGAATTTGTCTCGTGCGAGTGATGATAGCTTTGTCTCTCAAGACCCTGCATGCAGGATCGGCGAGCTGCTTCGGTGTCGCTGTGCCGCGCTCATGGCTGAGTTTTCAGCAATGACAGATTCGGAGCGCCTTCGGCAGCACAGCAGGACCCTTTGACCAGCGAGCTCCCACCTCTCTGCCCACCTTCTTCACCCTACACCACCTCAAAGCAACACCTTGGCCGCCTCCATCCCCGCCAGATTTTGCACAATGCGGGCCACTCTTGCTGGTGTTCTTGGCCTTCTGGCCGCTTCGGTCACGCTTCTGTCCTGCCCAGCGCAAGCTGTTCCCTTCTCGCTGATTCCCAAGCCGCATCCACTCGTCATCTGGCATGGTCTCGGCGACAGCGCCCATTCCGAGGGCATTGAAGAGTTCATGTCGCAGCTCAAGGAGGCTTTTCCAGGTCTCTATGTCCACTCAGTCTCTCAGGATGAAAGCAGCGACTCGGAGGATCGCAAGCAGGGCTTCTTCGGTCACGTCAACGATCAGGTTCAAAACGTGTGCGAACAGCTTGCTAGCGTCGACGAGCTCAAGGACGGCTTTGATGCCATTGGCTTCTCCCAAGGGGGTCAATTCCTTCGCGCATACGTGCAGCGATGCAACACACCTAAAGTGCGCAACCTCGTCACCTTTGGCAGTCAGCACATGGGCATCGCTGATCTTCCGGCTTGCGGTCCCACCGACTTGCTCTGCCGAGTTGCCGAGGCGGCCCTGCGTGGTGGCATCTACACCGACTATGCTCAGTCGCACCTGGTCTCGGCGCAGTACTACCGCAACCCCAAGGATCCCAAAGCCTTTGCATCCTACTTGGAGAAGAACGACTTCATCAAGGACATCAACAACGAGGGCGAGGAGACCAACCCCACCTATGCCAAGAACCTCGCCTCGCTCGAGAACTTTGTGATGCTGATGTTTGACAAGGACGTTACCGTCGAGCCCAAGCAATCGTCGTGGTTCGCTTCTTACCCGATCCGCAACGAGACCGAGACCGACAAGCACGGAGACAAGAACGAACCTACGCCACTGCGTCAGAGCTCAATCTACCTCGAGGACCGCATCGGTCTCAAGAAGCTGGACAAGCGCGGGTCGCTCATAATGGAGCTCTGTCACGGCATTCACATGCAGATTGATCCCGCTTGTCAGCTCAAGGTGTTTGGCAAATACGTTGGTACCCCATCAACAAAGCTAGACAACTCGGTGGCCAACTGGATCGACCACACCTGGCGCTGGACGCTCTACAACACGACCGGTCTGCGACCCGAGGAGACTGCTGGACTCATCTTGACGCAGAGTTTCATGTTCCTTGGACTGTTCCTCGCGGTGCGCTTGTCCTTTGCAATTCTCGTTCGCGGCATCGACCTTCTGTCTCGCAGGCGCAGTGACAAGGACGAGGTTCAGACTGGACCTGGTCCCATCCGACTGCCTTAGAAGCTCGGAGGCGTGTTACGACAGCGTCAGTATACCCCGGAGCACATCTAGCTCTCCTCATCACAAACGCTGTACAATAGCCCCATCAGGACCATGCATGTCAGGATCGTCCAAATCGCCGCCAGCTACGCTTTGCTAAGCCTGTCTTTCTCACGAGACGAGGCTCTTTTTTGTGTCGCAATTTCCGAGCCGAGTTCTTTTTGCCGCGCTGATACTGGACCCTGACTAAGTTCCCCGCCACCGACTCGAGCGATCTTCTCCACCATTTCGACTTGCACTAGCAGCCCGGCCGACCAGCCCCGTCTTGGCATGGTCCATGTCCTTGCTAGGTGCAGCCCACATCTGGACTTGATCCCACTCGTCTGACGAGGTGACCTTTTCTTCACAGCGAGATGAGGACTCAGCGAAGGATACCCGCAACCTGACTGCATTACAGAGAACGAGGCCCGAGCTGCCTGGATGCATCAGGACATGATTAGACGACAAGCGCCACAGCCGGTGAGGCGGAGCACCCGGATCCGTCAAAAAACATCGCCATACTTCCAATGCAAGAAAAAAGGAGCGTCTAGTGTCTCAAGAGCCTCGACGAAGCCACAAGGAGCCAACGCTGAGACTGCAGGAAGCAAGAGTCGCCCCACAAAATTGAAGAGCAAAGCGGCTCCGAAAGCGACGAAGGTCAAGAGCGAGGATGACGCCGAATCGAAGCCCGAGGTGGAACGAGTGCACGGTTTGGCGCGGGAGGCCAACTTCTACGGCCTGATCCAGGAGATCGTAACGCCCAATGTCTTTCGCTTGCTCGTAGCAACCTGCTTGCTCAATCAGACGAAGGGGAGAGCAGCTATGCCCGTGTTCTGGGAGCTGCTCAGACGCTGGCCGGATGAGCATCGCTTGGCGAAAGCAGACTTGGTGGAGCTGACGGACCTGCTTCAACCCATCGGGCTGCACAACATCCGCGCACGGCGACTCATCAATATGGCACAGACCATGGTAGAGATTCCGTACGATGAAAAGAACTTGTTCAAGAGTCGAGACAGGACCGCACCAGACACACCGATTGGCATCTATCCAGGTGTCGGACGATATGCTATCGACAGCTGGAGGATCTTTGTCGCTGGCGGAGGAGCCAGCGTTGGCTTGGACGGTCAGAAACCAGTCAGCCCCTTTGACACAGTGTCGGTCGTTGCGCTGCCCAAGAAGAAAGAGGCGCTTGTTCTGCCTCCTGCTGAACCACGACCCGCTATCGAGCCAGAGTGGAAGTCTGTTATGCCTCTCGACAAGGAGCTGCGAGCCTACCTCATCTGGCGATGGGCTCAGGAAGGGCAGCAATGGGATCCACTGCGCGGCGTCGTCCCGGCCTCGTCCGATTCTCAGTGAGCCCTTCACTGTGACATTCTTGTCCTTGGCATTCATTTCATGTAGTCACCTCGAGTCATTCAGCATCGTTGAGATGATACGAAGATCCTTTGTAGCAAGCTGAGCGTCAGCGAGTCATATATCCTCGGCGAATTTATGGCCATGGTCCGTGAGCGGTGAAATAGGCGCCAGGAGCACGAGCCTGCATGACTTGCGCACAAGAATTCGCCGTTGTCGATTGAGTCAGATGCACGTTTGCTTCCAGACTGCGCAGTGTTGCTCTTGCAGATTTCATTCCAACAGATTCGCTGCAGAGCGACCCTCTTCCCTCTCAACCACCACAATCAACGCATAGACATCGTTGATACACGCTCTGCCATCCTCTAGAGATCCTGTTCAGCTGTAGCAGCTAGATCGCTCCATCTCTCGTCATCATGGCTCCTCAGTCTCGCATCTATCTCACAAGGCACTCCCAGGCCGAGCACGTAAGTTGTTGCTGGACGTTGCCAATGCACACGAGATCGACACTGACGTCTCTTTGCGTCATGAATGCCACAGAACGTCGCCGACGACTACTCGATCCCAGATGCGCCATTGACGCCGCTCGGTAAGCAGCAGTCAGGACGATTGCCTTCGCTCACCCAAGATCTCCAGTCACGAGCGCAAGTCATCCTCTCCTCTGCGCTCAAGCGCACCTTGCAAAGCACCAAGATCGGCTACGCTCCCGCTGTCGAGCGACTCGGTGGTCTCGGCAAGGTAGTGTTGCTGCCTCAGCTGCAGGAGTGCAACGACTTCCCATGCGACACCGGTTCCGCCAAGGAGGTCCTTGAACGTGACCCCGAGCTTCAAGGCTTTGACTTCTCGCCGCTCACCCCCGACTGGACTAGCAAGCAGGGCTTCTACGCAGCCGACGAGGCTTCGCTTAACAGCCGTGCCCAGTGGGTCCGACAGTACCTCCGCAGCCGACCCGAACAGGACATTGTCGTCATGGCCCACGGCGACATTCTGCGCAGAATTACTCAGCAGCCCTACGTACGTATCGCCATGACTGTCTGCGGCAACGCTATCAGCTGTTGTGATTGACTGACGCACCCTCTCTCCTGCTTCTACTCTTATACCATCCCTGCAAACAGCCCTGGAAGAACGCCGAATGCCGACTCTTCCAGTTCGACGCCAACTCGGTCGACACCGAGGAATGTCCATTGGTCCACGTTCAGGACGTCGCTACTGGTGGCGCCGTCGCTGAACCTACTTCCGGCGACATTGCCGCTGAGAAGGGCGTCCCCTCTGCTGGAGCCGGCAAGGACGCCAACTCTGCGCTGTGAGCATCTTCCGATCCGCCTGCAAGGGAATCGCGGACTCCTTTCAATTTGCCTGCGGCCGGTCATCTGCCTGCTAATCTGTCTCCAACATAGATGCTCACGGAGTCATACTCCGAGCCTTCCATGAGCAAATGCCATACAATACACTCTGCAGCCGAAGCGAATCGAAGCGAGCCCAGGCTGTCTTTCGAGACATGATTTGAAGCGAAAGTCGAGAGCCTCATGCTGACCCTTTCTGCCCTTCTGTATCCAATCAACGCGATCCTTGCTGTCGATGGTGACAGACCCACGATCCCGATTTCGAACTCGGGCTCGCTCCATAGCTTCGTCACATCAGCGGTCCCAGTGCCTCAGAGCTTCGCCGTTCAGGCAGCACCGGCTTCTGACGTACGCTCTGAGCTGAAGAGTAGAGAAGATCGCGTGCGTCACCGTCAATCGGTGCTCCTCGAGCAGACAAACGAGTTGCAGGAGCTCGAGAAGCGTTTGCAAGCGGCCGAAGCGCGAAAGAGGGAGCTCGAGTCGCGCGGCGGCTTCATCTAGGTTCCGCTCCGGTCTTTTTGCATACTCTTCCATCCCAGCGTCTGTCTCGTCATCTCAAGCATCTGTCTTGTCAGCAATCCAGTCCTCTTGCAAGTCGTCCCATTCCATTTTTGTGATGATTCTACGGTGATGTTGGTGATCTTGATGAAGAGATTTCGGATTACGGACGAGCATCTTCGAGGGCTTTGTGTGCTGTTGGAATTTTTTAGGTTGTGTGTGGAGCGAGCGGACCCTGAACCATGACTTCTTCCACCGTCTTCACCATCTTCTCCCGCACCAACCGCAGTCTCGGTGACTGCGCCACCTTAGTCGGCACCTCTTACCTGCTTGCAAAGCGACTGAAAGCATCAACTACAATTCTTGACGGCGGCGGCGGCATCATGCGAGGATCCTTAGCGGCAAGTCCGTTTCACTAAGCCGGCCGTCTCAGAGCGGCTTCCCACCATCAGACTGCGGAAAGCGGAGGCACACCAACGATGAGCTGGCTCAACTCATTCGATCCGGCCGCTCCCAAGGGCTCATATGGCGCCAGCAGTAGTGGTTCGCGAAATGCTCTAGGACCGAGCCGCAGTGTCGCAGCTCCTGCGGGGCTCCATGGTTCGACAGCAGGTCCGTCTGCTGCCCCTCCTGGTCCATCTCGCCCTGCTCAGATCGGTCGCACCACCCGCCTCAACGAGTCGACACCGTACTCAGGCCCTAGCAGACCGTCGAATGCACCTCCGGCATATGCACCGCGACCAATACGACCGCCACATCGAATCAAAGCTGCTCCTCCTTCAGCGGCGCTTCGCTCGGAAGATGCACAGCCAAATGAACATCAGATGCGAACCAAGCCGTGGGAGATCGAGGCGCCTCCAACTATCGGCAAGGCCAAAACGGCTCAGCCCATATGCCCGCCACGGAAACCGAGTCAGCCACGACCGAAGCAGGCACGCACCACCGGTTCGCAGAGAGCACCTCTACCTGTGAAGCCGCCCTCCGCTCCTGCGCCAAAAGCACCGCAAAGACCAACACAACCGCCATCGGGCCCGCAAGCACAACCGAAACCTCGACATCCACCACCTACAGCAGAAGAATTGCAGAAGAAAGAGCTCAAGAGGCTGAGGCGGGAAGAGCACGAAAGAAACGTCCTGGCCAAGAGGCAACGCCAGTCGCAGGCAGCGAAGAAGGCGAACGAGAAGAAGAAGAAGTGGCTTGCGCAGTCGACAGAAGCGAAATCGCCTGCTGCAAAGAAGGAAGAGATCGAGATGCCAGACATGGAGCTATCCGAGGCGGCAAAGATCAGATTGCGATGGGAGCAATCTTCTTCTTCTTCGTCGGACTCTGCGATGGAACGGACATGGGATTCGAGGGGAAGACGCACGCCTTCTCCCCCGCCCTTGCCGTCGAGCCCGCCTACGGTACTACCACCTCCGTCCATGGCCGCACCGCAGCCATCCTTACCCACGCCAACAGCAGCATCAAACGTGTCAATAGTGGAGGCTCATCTTCAAAGCCAGGCACCTAGCGAGCCGAAGAGTGCGATGCCGACATTGGCGCAGCTGCGCGGGATCCTCTCGGCAGTGGAGAAGTCTACGCCACCAATCGCTCACGCGACACAAGAAAAGCCGAAGGCAAGCGAGATATCACCCGCAGGCGAAATACAGCGAGCCAAACACTATGCACAGCCAACGGTGGACTCCTCGGACGTCGAATCGGTCATCACGCCGCCGGCCAGTCCCAGGGAGCTGGCTCCTGCGATGAGGAAAGCATTCGAGGTACCTGCCAGAGCTTTGAGACCTTCCAAACGTGGCGTCAAGGCAGAACAAGTTGACTATAAGGCTTCCAGTACCCAGCAGCTTGACCCACCAACGCAGGCTGCCAGCAGCAAGGCCATCGAGACCGACAACATCAGCGACGACGACGATGACGACGACGACGATCGTCCTCTCGCCGCTGCGCTCCAAGCCTCTGGTCGACTCTCCAACCTCAGTTCCAAACCACGCCAACCCGAAACCTGCGTCGACTCGGACCCGGACGAAGACGTTCCCCTGCAAGACCTGCTACAGCGTCGATCTGCCGAGCCTGCCACCGCTTCCACCGACACCCGACCAAAATGGCCCTCAACGCCCTTCGAGCCGAAGCTCAAGAAAGCTTTCGCGGGAGCACACGGCCTGTCCATCAAGTACTTTGTTCCCCTCGCCAGTGCAGCATTGGCCGGTCGGGATGCAGCTCCCACTCGCAGTCGCGCTGCAATGTTCGACTCGGCTCTTGCGGTCAGTGAACACGGTCGGATCGTGACCTACGCCGAGGAGTGCGATCGCGATGTGAAGCCGGACGACCTTCCGAGCCGGTTCCTGCACCTCGCCGAGCGACCTGTCGACAAAAAGTCCGTCAAAGGTTCGTCTCCGATCGATCGGGTGGAGGACGTTGTCCGTCTCACCTCCAAAGTGTGCGCTATCGCCTCGTCAACGGATCAGCCGTTGGGACTGGGTAATCACTCGGACTACCCGGTGCAGGTATCGCTTGTCACGCTCGACGCTTCTCGCTCCGCACGCACACACCACCTGGACGAGCGCCCGCATGCCTGGGGCGCATCCAGCATCACCTCCTTTCCCCGGACTGACCCGTTCAACTCTGGCTCGGTCGATTTTGCCACTGGTGGCATCGATGGTGTGGTTCACCACTGGAACTGGTCTCGTCCCACTACCACGACGAGCCGACTTCACACGTTGCATGGGAGCAAACCGGTGGTAGCGCTGGAACACCTCCCTTCTCGCACCACGCTCGCTTCGGCCAGCCTTGGTAGTGTGATCGGCTTCGATCTCTCGGCTTTAACCCTGGGGTTCAGCTGGAATACAAGCGATCACATTGTGCATTTGGAACGGACACCCGATCCGAAGCTCATGCTCGGCGTTCTGGCTCGGAGGGACTACGATCAGTTTCGACTGTTCGATGTTACTGGTGGAAACGGGCCGGTGAGTCGACCGGTGTTGCGCTTTGGTTGGCTCAACGAGGCTCAGGGAAGCCTGCCACTGGGTAGAGGGGCGTGGCATCCGCATAGGAGGGCGATGTTCGCTCACGCTGCCGAGGATGGGCACGTGAGGGTGTGGGATATGCGCAATGCTCGGGATGCGTTGGTGGATGTGGATCTCGAGGAGGAGGCGTTGGTGGATGTCGTTTGGGCAGCGGAGGGAGAGGAGGATGTGATGTATGTCGCCGGAACGAGAGGTGTTAGGTGTGTGGCGCTGGTCCCGCCTTGAGTGGGATCTTCAAACCGCGAGAAGGGGATGAGAAGGGGTCTGGAGAACGCACAAGCAGGGTTGTACCACATCCCGCAATTCAAGCACACAAGAAGCGCTGGCTGCCAAATGAAAGAAAGATGCCTCGTTGAAACGCACAAGCAGAGGGGCCCAAATGCAAAAGCGATGCGGAAGTCAAAAGCGGCGTGCGCGTCGTCTAGCATACTCAAACCGATCGTTTGTGCGGATGTATGTATGTATTTCAATCGTGCTGCGAGAGTAAGCGAGTTCACATGGACTTTGAAAGATTCTTTCGGCATTCTTAGTGGTGTTGCGCATCGAGAGCGGCCTTCTTCTCGGCCTCGCTGAACATGGGAGGAGGAAGGTTGCGTTCCCACTTTGTGCCGTCTTCGAACATGGCGGCTGTTCCGTCAAAAGCAGGAAGGGGAGGAAGGATGAGTCAGTATGAGGTGTTCGAAGTTTCCGAAGTTTCGAACCTTTGCTTCTGGGTTCGGTGAGTGGGTGTGATGGGCGGGTCGATGCCGGCAATGGGGCTGCCAGGAGTGCCGCGCGGACACGGGCAGCGTGTACATTTGGCTTTCGACGAGCAAGTTGCAACCCGAAAGTAGGACGCATCTCTGCAGTCGCCAATGAGCGCCTACGCCATCTCGCCATCTCGTCCTGTCCATCGGTGCCACCAACCTCCTTGAAGCCTTCGCATACTTACGTCGGTGAGGATCGGGGTGCTGCACCCTCTTCAAATCCCTCTCGGCCTTCTCGAACAGATTGGCCAACTCCCTAGGGTTGCGGATGTGACGGTTCCTCTCGAACTCGACGCGGATTTCGATAGCGCGGTCACGCCAGATGTCGCGACGGATGCACCAGTCCAGCTCGTTCTTGAGCGTGCGGCGGTAGAGCGATTTGACGTACGACTTGTGCGCTTGCGAGAAGGATGCTGCCGCCGCAGGGCCGGTGGATGACGAAGAGGCAGCAGCGCTGCGCAGGATGGGTGCCGCGAACATTGTGGGACCGTCGAAAAGGTGAAGAGGCGTGGTGATGACGATGGTGGACAGTAAGGCGGGGAGGGTACTGAGATGGAGGGGTTGGATTTCAACGATATCGACCAGAACGGCCGCACGACCCGCCAGAAGTGAGATTCCGATTTTCATCACGTGCGCCGGATCGCTGATTCGGAAATCAAGATCAAGCCCGATTTTCAGTTTCAACCACGGCAGGACCTTCGTATACTCACGCCCTTCGAGGCACTCCGATCGACAGTCACTTATCAGACCGCTGCGTTGTCAGAGACGCGGACATGGCAGGCAGAACGTGAGCGTGTTGTGGCGCCATAGCGAGACTCGTAGAGGCGGACGAAGGTGTATTGCTATGCGAGAAAGGTCATTCGCCGACAATGTCAGCGCCTGGCAACATAGACCTGATGGTGACACTTAGCCGAATTGACCGCTTCAGCTCGTCCACGCTACCATCAAAAGCGCGCACACGATCCATATCCCTGGCGCTGATCCCATGCTTCCAATCGTACCTCGCCTGGCCGGACAACACGACCACGCTCCCCGATGGCAGGAAGAGATGCTCCGACGCCTGTCGCTCGTGCGTAAAGTCCATCACGGTGCCCGTACCCTGTGGACCGAAAGAGCAGAGGATGATGCCATCGGCAAAGCGGTTGACCAAGTCGACGTGCGGCGAGAGGCCCTCTGCACCCGCGTAGAGGTTGAGGATGAGTTGACGCGAGCGGAGCTGGTCGGAGGGGAAGAGGAGGTGCTTGACTGATTGAGGGAGATAATGCTCGGGCTGGGCAATTAGGAGGTGTTGCAAATCGTGTATGAGGTCAAGGGCCCACGCGGGAAGACCAGAGCAGCTCGAATCGCCTGCCGATGGTGGCGCACCCGGCATGGTATCTGACGACGATGCCAGTGACCGCGCAAAGAGCATCGCTTGGTTGCGCGATGAGCGAGCGTATGACTCGGTCCTATTACAGTCGGCCTTGGAGGAATTCCCGGCCTCATCTGTGACGGCAAAGTAGCCGCATGCAGAGACCTGCTGTAGCACTCGATCGTGGAGTTCTCTCGACAGCAGGTCCGGGAAGAAGAACAAGCCGGGTATGCCTGGAGCCGTTCGCGATGCTATCGGAACGTCATCGCGAGGATCCTCATTCGTATACGCTGCCACATCATTGGTGCTGTCGGCGCCAAAGAGGGAGTCGTCATCGTCGTCGGGATCGGAATGCATCCTGAAGGTCCCCGCTCTGTAGGCAAGGGTCTGGCATTGCTTCAAGAATACTTTGAGATCGAGAGGGCTACAGAATACCTATGACAGGAGCAAGCGCGCATCACAGAGATAGAGGTGTCGACATGTTGACAGAGAGCGGGCAGGACCGAAGCTGCTGATGGTGACAAGGCGTTGGTGGAAACCAAAAGTCAGGAGCGAGCAGATCCGTGCGAGCAACGGCGTCTTCCGAAGAAGCGCGAATTTGAGTTTTTGGAATGACGCGGTGAGCTGCGCAGCCGCGGGCACATGTGGGCTCTTGCAGCCTTCCAAATTTTTTAGCCTTTTTTCGCTGTGGTTCCGGCTATCCGTCTTGACGAGAAGAAAAACCTGCTCCCCACTCGATATCACTTAACGTTCAACGTTACTCTCCCCACCCAAACAACTCCACCCCCTCACAACAGCTCCTATCAGGACATCTATTTACACAACATGTCGGCCGAGCAGCTTCCAGACGACCACTACCGTCCCACGTACGAGGAGATTCACGTGCAGATCGGCGAGGCTGCGCGTCGCATCAAGACAGAATTCGACCCGGATCTGATGGTGGCCATTGGCGGTGGAGGCTTCTACCCCGCGCGCGTGCTGCGAACGTTCCTCAAGAAGCCTTCGGCGCTGGACGCGAGCAAGATGCGCAACATCCCCATCCAGGCCATCGGCTTGAGTCTGTACGAGGAAGTGTCCGGCACGTCCGAGGGCCAGATCGGTAACGAGGTGGTGCGCACGCAGTGGCTCGACGCCAAGACTGTTTCGGGCCACAAGGGGCCAGGCAAGATCGAGGAGGGCAAGGACGCCGGAGGTCTGCTCGGCAAGAACGTGCTCATCGTAGACGAGGTGGATGATTCGAGGACCACATTGCAGTACGCCTACTCGGAACTTCTGAAAGATGTCAAGAACGCCATTGCCAACCTTTCGGCGGAAGAGCGTCAGAACCTCGCCCCCACCCGCTTCGCCATCTTTGTGGTGCACAACAAGGAGAAGGAGGGCGGAAAGCGCGGTACCCTGCCCATCCTCCCCAAGGATCTGCCAAAGGGTCAGGATAAGATTGTCGAAGGACTCAGCGAGGGTGTGCGATACTACTCGACGCAGGACATTGGCGACGTGTGGATCTGCTACCCGTGGGAGGAGGAGGACATCATCGAGCACAACCGCCTCGCTGCCCTGGCCAAGAAGTTGGGTGTCAACCAGGCTGTCTAAGGCAGGCCTCATTCTCGGCAGGAGAAGCTTTTTGCTGCCGTTTGTATATCATCCAGCTCTGTCATGGAACCTTTTGTACATTGTGATGTTGTCGGAGGATCCGACCTGTGTGCGTGTCTCATGCATGAAAAGAGCTGCTCATAGGGCACGGGACTTGCCCAGTCTATCTGCCGATCACGATCTCGCTGACACACAAAGAGCGTTTCGATCGAATGCTGTCGCTTTGATTCGGCATGCCTCCGATTGCAAGAAGCCTGCAGACCGACGGAACATGCCAAGCTTGGGTATAATCCCGACCGAAACGGCGGCACTTGCGTCAACCTATCGACTCGCAGAGCTCGTTCCCACAGCCTTCCTCCCATCCTTGAGCAGACTCCTGCACTCGGCTGCAATCTCTCTCACCCCTGACACACCTGCATCCGTCCACGCCGCCAAAACCGGCTCCATTGTCCCCCACAAATGCTCCGCCTGCGCTAGTCCCATTTTCCTCGCCTCCGCACTCTGCTCCCCCGTCTCAGCCGCGTCCAATCGACACTCGATTAGATCTGACAGCCTCGCTGGTAGCGTCACGATCGGATCCAGGTCGTGCAGCCGGTCGATCCCTCCCGTGGCCGACTCCTCCACCGCCTTCGCTCTAGCACTGCTGCGTAGCACCTCGAGATTGCTCGCCAGATTCGACATGCTCTCGAACGACGATCTGAGCGAGTCCAACGACGGATCGAGCGACTCGGACTTGATCTTCATGTTCCGGATCGTATCGGAGGCAGCGACCAGCTCGTGGTGATGATTGTACACCAAACTCTGTCGTTCTCCGTCCAGCTCGCGGATCTGGACGATGAGCTCGGACTCTTTGCCGAGCAACGTGCTGAGGCTGCCCGAGCGAAGGAGGGAGGAGAGATCGATCTTGGGTCCTAGAGCGATGCTGCTCGACTCGCCGATGATGGGCGTGCTTGGTTGTGATGTGGTGGGAGTCTCGGAGGAGAGGCCGTAGTAGTCGCGCAGCTTGCTGGCTCGTCGTTTGTCGGCTCGCGGCCGTGAGCCGGTGGACGAGCTGGGGCTCATTTCGACCACGTTCCGACCTTGCAGCGGCCGCGACGCGAGTGTGGGTGTCGAAGGTGTGCTTGTCGATGCCATCTTGTCGTTATGTGTGCTGGTGCATCAGGAAGAGATGGAAGCGTGTGTTTGTCTTCCGGTCAGGGTCCGAGCTGACCAGCGTGGAGGCGAGTTTTCCCAGGATGTTAGAACGGCCTCAACGGCAAGCCTGGAAATTGCGTCGGCTGCACGGAGCAGTCAGCCTTCAGCGCAGCGCAGCGCTCCCTGCCGCTCACTTCATGCGGAAGGTCGTCTGAGCCCGGTCCCAGACCGGATGCCAAGTCGGTCAATTCACGGATGACCGCCAAGCAATCTGCATTCTGCTCACTCTCGTCATCCTCTCCTCTGTCATCCTTTGCTCCGCACGACGTTTCATACGCACCGAACGAGGCCTCATCGACTCAGCCACAGAGTCGCCCGCTCTCGAGCTTTGTAACTCGCACCCCGCAATCGGCGCAGCACAACCTCAGACTCTCACCTCGACCCTCGATCTCATCCCAAGCGGCTCTCGCTTCCCATTCCCGGCAGTCATGGTGCGGACACCCTCCATCTCGATCTCGTCGAGTGAGAAAGACAAGGACAAGGCGACCCAAACGCTCTCTTCTGCCTTTGCATCCATGATCGCCGTGGGTGCGCCCTACCAGACCTCGCGAAATCAGCTCAAGGTCGAAGACGCTTCTTCCGCGTCCACCGACACCCGCGAGTCGGGACGATCGCGCAAGAAGTCGAGTCGATTCAGCGCCTTCAGTCGGTCCGGGCGCAGTCCGTCGCCTTTCCGATTCGGGCTGTCGAAGAAACGTTCCTCGTCGGCAAACCGATTGAAGGTCAATCCGGATGACGATACGGGGTCGGAGCGCAGCGAGAGGGAGAAGGATAGCGATACAGAGTCGGTCATGAGTAGCGCGTCGGGGATCACGCCGAGGAACAATGCGTTCTTCAGCCCGGAGGATGAGGAGGAGATCGATTTGTCGGTGCCTTCTTCGCATGGCCGGCGGCGGCACCCTGCCTCGTTGCATGGAGCCGAGTCGCAATTGCCCACGTCGGGGTCGTCAACCAGTCTCACGAGTGCTACGGGTGTAGAAGCGGATGTGGAGTCGGTTGCGGATTCGGATTCGGATGATGACGATGCTCCACATGCCTCTTCCAGCGGCAACGGCGCAGGCGAGGAGGAGGAGGACGACGAGGACCCCGACGAGATGGATCCAGAGGTGCTCGACAACACGCTCTACAACGCAGAATGCCTCACCTCGCACCAGCACTGGAACGGGCCCAAGTCCGAAGATGGTCATCCCCACTTTGACACCTACGAGGACGAAGACCTGGAGCGCGACGATGATCACATTACGGCGCCTAACGTGGTGCTTGCCGAAGATCAGGTGTCGACTTTTCTCACAAGGCGCGGCTCCAAGATGCTTTCGCTCACCACGTCGCGTCCGCGCTACGAGCGTAATCGATGCACCATCACCATCAGTCACGGCGATGCCGATGCGGCGGCGAAGAACAGCAAGCGACCCAAGCGCTATGTCGTCGCCTCGGATGGATCCGAAGAATCCTCGTATGCAGTGGAATGGACGATCGGAACAGTGCTCCGGGATGGAGACGAGATGCTGGTAGTATCCGTCATGGAGACGGACAGCAAACTCGACGCGCTCGATCCGAAGCACGAAGAAGTCTCGGCACGAATGGAGCACCAGCGCATTCGTCAAGCCATGGCGTCCGTGCTGGCCAAGCAAGCCACCCACCTACTCGAACGCACACGGTTGGAGGTCAAGATCTCCTGCCAGGCGATCCACGCCAAGAATCCGCGCCACATGCTGTTGGACCTGATCGACTTTTACGAACCGACCATGGTGGTGGTCGGTTCGCGCGGGTTGGGCTCGCTGCGTGGAATCCTGCTCGGTTCGACATCGCATTATCTGGTGCAAAAGTCGAGTGCGCCGGTGATGGTGGCTCGTAAGCGATTGAAGTTGCCGGCGTTGCCGAGGGGCAAGGGCGATGTGGTGGAGTCGGTGCGCGCGAGACATATGCGTTTGGACCAGGCGTCGATCGAAAAGCTCTCCAACGCTGGCGAGGAAGGGAAAGAAGATGGCGAGAAGGATGGCGAGGAGAAGAACACGACGGAAGAGGAGACTTCGCCGGACAATGAGACCGGCGCCATCAGCACTGTCGATAGCGTCACCACCACCGACACTGTCTCGGAAGCGCAGACGCCCGTCACGCCTTCCCCACCCCGCACACCCAGCCCAACCTCCAAATCACCCATCAACGTCGATGGCAGCCCCAAGCTCCAACGCAAGTCGTCCAAAGCTGGACCCACCGCCATCCCACACACGTCGCTCGAGCGTGAGGCCGAGACGCGCGTGCAGATCCAACAGCGCAAGGAGGAGGCGGCCAAACTGCACGAGGGCGACAAGAAGAGGCACCTCTTTGCGCATCATGGTGATCCGCTGAAGATGGACAAGGACGCATTGCTGAGCGATAGCGAGGGCGAGTCGAGGGATGAGGTGACCAGGAGAGCCGGAGTCAAAGGGCCAAAGGAGGAGGCGGGAAGCAGGCCGAGAGGCGATGGTGTCAAAGGCACTCCTTGAGTCGACTCTGTGAATCTCATTGAGTTAGACCACTCTCGCGTGTTCTGGCTGACTGGCAGTTCGGGGAAAAGAGATCTGAGAAATTGCAAAGCTACAAGCAAGGTGCGGGACGCACAAAGAGCCAGGGCGGAATCGAGAAGGGTTCGGGACGCAACAAGAGGTGTGGAAGGGGAAGATACAGTGCGGTTCATCGAGAAGGGGAGGTCGCGTGCGGATCAGGCCAACATGGCTTTCTCGGCGTTGCGCAAGTTGTGCTTCACCGACTGCAACGTGGTGATCATGAATCCGACGTAAGCATCGACGCCGAGCGCTTCGAGGTCGATGTTGGTGGCTTCCTTGACTTGCTTCACCGTCCCCGCCGCCTCGATCGAGAACTTCTGCGCCGCCTTGTTGAGGCCCTCGGAGGTGGTCTGGGCCGCCTCGACCGCCTGGACTCGAAACTGAGCAAGGGCGGGGACGACCACCTTGTCGTGGTACTCTGCTGTGCGTTTGGCCGCTCTGTTCAGCTCATCCGAGGTGGTTCTTGCGGCTTCCGCAGCCTGCGAATGGAGCTGCGCAAGGGCGGGAATGAGCACGTCTTCGTGGTAGCGTGCTGTGCGCTGGGCAGTCTGTGCTGTGTGTTCGCGGAAGTACGCGTAAGCAGGACGGATTCGTTCTTCCTTGTACTGGGATGCGAACTTGATGGACCGCTGAGCGGTGCTGATAGCCTGTTTGCGCAATGTAGCAAAGGTGGACACGAGCTGCTCGTGATGGTATTGGTGGGCAAAACGTGCTGCTTCGTAAGCTTGCTCCTTGGCCGCCAAGATGACGGGCCGCACAGCGAGTCGGTAGTAGTTGTCGAGCTCGGCTAGCCAGAAGTCCCATGATGTCGTGGTAGCGTTGTCGAGGTAAGATGATCTGGACTTTGGCGGGAACACCGGTAGATCGGACGGCATCTTGAAGGGCAATTGACCTGCGAGAGCAGAGTACCTTCTGCGCTTGCCGCTGATCTTGGGGCGAAGCGAGGGACGTACGAAGCTGTTGGCCTTGCTCGGTTGAGCTGGAACGTCGTGGACGACGCTGAGACTCTTTGACTTGGTGAAAGTCTCTTGAAGCGCAACAGGGCGGCGTCGTTGCCGATAACCTGCTCGGTCCTTTGTACGAGCGTCGGCTGTCCCGCGAACGAGCTCCTTCACGAGTTCGGGGTTAGCGATGGTCAGACTCGAAGGAGATGGACTCGGAGCCAGAGCGAGAGATACTGGGACGGAAACAGATGCCCTGTTGACTAGATTGTCGGTGGAGGCAATGTGCGACATGTGCGAAGGAGAAGCAAACTTTGGTTTGAAGTCGAATGCGTGACCGATCAGCTGGGAAGGCGCTCGCTGCGAAAGACCGAGAAGAGAGCTTGACTTGAAGCCAAGAAGGACAGCGGCGAGTACAGCAACTATCCAAGCCGCCTTGGGAGCGATAGTTGCGATCCTGCGACGGGGCTGCAATGGACCCGCATGCTTCTCGGCAATAGGAAGGAGGACCTCCATCTTCTCGAGGTCGTCGTAGTTGATCGCTGCGCCTGCAACTTGCTGCAAATCCTCTTCTGCCGACTCATCATGCTCGTCGACTTGTTGATTGAGCTCGGAAGCGACAGGTTGATCGGACTGCTGCGAAGGACTCAGAAGGGTGTAGAGCGAGCTGGACTCGAGGTCGAGCTCCGGACCCTCGAAACTGGAGACGGGATCGGGGAAGTGGAATCGAGAAGCATGCAGTTGCGGGCTAGGTGGTTGCGTTTCGGCTTCTGAGGTGGTGCTTGCAGCATCTGATCCGATGGAGGAGAGTGCGACCGACCGGACATCGTCATGTTCGACGTCGATCAGTTCAAAGTCCGAGGAGGCATCTGTCTCTGCCAGAGACAGGGTGTCGAAAGGGTCGCTGTCGATGCTGGACACCATTGTGGCGATGAGGAACAGGTGTGAGGAATGCGAGAAGGAGAGAAGCGGTCCGAGCTGTCCTGATTGTCCTCGTATCGCTGCTTTGAGGGAAGAGGGGCGGCGGGAGTGAAGAGGGGCATGGCAAGGTGGACCCTGAATGCCGCTCGCTATCAGCTGTCTTGCGCAGCAGCAGTCAGTCACACAGCGCTCAGCAGCTCGTTCCCGCAACTCAGCCACAAAATGTGACTTTTGTGAAATGGCGGTTTGGGCGTAGTCGACTTTCTTTGGCACTCTGTCAGTGTCACCCACCTTTTTGATGATCCATGCGCCTGCAGCTTGACATTTTGGCATCAGAACCCTGCATGAACGCTTGCTTGCCTTGGAGGGGCGCGCAAGAAAAGTGAGCCATGTTAGACCCAAATTTAAGACAACCTCGAACCACTTTCTGCCCTTTGAGATCTCGGAAGAAGGAAACAACGCAAAGGCCGCTCGCTGTTCAACAAGATTTCATTCATCTATACCTGTCAGCCTGCTTCTGCTACCCTCATCCGTCAAAGCCTTGAGGAGGCTCGCAGCTCGACGAACCCTTCCCGAGGTAACAACACTCCAGCAACGGGGCGACTCGCTTGAATCAAGGTCGCACCCGGTCGACATCAAGATAGCACACACGAAACGCGCCTGCCATTGGCAATGAGCTCGTAAAGGCGTACACAGCGAGCCCAGTTCAGCCGCGGACACGCTCTACCCACCACGCTCCCCTCGCTTTCCCTTCTTCAGCATGTCGTCCTCATCTGGCGATGACCAGGACGCGTTCGTGCTTGACTGCATCACAAACTGGACGGCCGAAGGCGCATCGCAACTGTAAGTCTTCTCTTCGAACGGACTTCAAGATTCCACCCAGGAGCTCGTACCGCTACGAAGCATTCTCGGCTTTCACCCACCCAGACCAACCCCACTGACCAACGGAACGCGCACGTATCGGCACCCCTCGTCGCTTCGTGATATCCAATCCTCTCTCCAGTCAAGCCTCTCTCCAGGAGGCCATCGCACATGCACAGCACCATCAAGATGACTCGCGCCTGTCTTCGCTCTTGATCGCATCTCTTCGCTCGCTCTGCTTAGCATCACGCACATCGGAGGACTCCATATGTGGTCTCCTTGAAAGAGTCAACGGAGACAGCCAAGAGGAGGGAGTACCATCGACCTTTACAGAGACCCTCCTCGATTCAATATGGAGCGTCGACCTCGAGATCGAGTCCCGCACCGACTGGCTATCTTCCCACGCGCCACCAGCCGAAGGCGCAATTTCGGTCGGCTTAGAAGCCGAAGAGCCAATACCCGCGGCAGTTGCGCGTCAGCGCCTAGCAGGCCTTGTCCATCTCCTCATATCCACAAACGTCCTCGACCAGGACCAAGTGGCCGAAAGACTGGAGCAAAGTCTTCTCGCCTTGATCGGTCTCATCCCAAATGAAGGCTACTTTCAGAAGCGCTCCATACAGATCCGTACCGCGCGACTCTTCAAGCAGCAAAAGTTCAATTTGCTTCGCGAGGAGAACCAAGGCTACACCGCGCTCATCACCGAGATCGTCACCAACCTCGGGCCTGCTGTCGCTGCTGTCCGATGTCAAGGGCCAAGTCGGGATGCTGCTACTGCATCAGCATCCATATTCGGCGATGATTCCGTCACTGTTGTCGAACAAGAGTCGCCGCTCGTCCGCAATCGCCGAGCTGCCCGCGTCATGACCAATGTTCAGGCGCTCATCGGCTACTTTGACCTCGATGCCAACCGCGTTCTTGACATTATCCTCGACCTCTTTGCCACCGAAGTCGTGCGTCATTACCCCTTCTTCCTTGCTTTGCTCGCAGTCTCCCCTTGGACAAACGCGGATGCGTCTTCTCCATCATCAGCATCCGCCTCCAACGGCGCCAACACGAATGTCTTTGGCAGCGTCAATCTCGATCTTTCTTCCGACCCAGGTGACGGCATTTGCGCTCAGCTGCTGGGTTTCAAGTTTGCCCACTACTGCCATCCTGACATCAAGGACGCAACGCCAGACGAGCTCTACTTCCTGGCCGCGCTTCTCATCAAAGAAGGTCTCGTCCGCTTCGCCGATCTCTATCCTCACCTGTCTCCGGACCAAGAAGGCATGAACAAGCTCCAGGTCAAGCACCGTCAAGCTATGTCTGCTAAGGTCTCGAGTGCTCGAGCTAACGCGCTATCCATGGCGGCGCCCCTGACGGATGACTCGGACCCATCTTCAACGCGAAAGGACTCGGCCAAGACCGCCGCTGACGTGACCCCGAAAGAGCCACCATACCAGACCGTCGGTCTGTTGCGAGCGTTACTCGCGTTGGGCGATTTGCGGCATGCCCTGTTCATCCTTACTCGGTACCCATGGCTATGCTCGGCCTTCAACGAGATCGCCGACCCTTATATCCGTTTGTTGAACGTCGTCATTCAGCCGGCATACGACGAGATCTCCTTCTCCCGCATGAACCCAGCCTGCGCTGGCCCTTCCGTCACCGCGCCACGATCACGATGGGACGCGAAATCGCAAGCTGCCGTCCCTCCCACTGTCAAGAGTCTGGTTCTTACACGCAAAGTGCCCGAACCAATTCCTTCCCTCAACTGCCAGCAAGTCTTCTTCTACCCACATTGGAGGGACTCGCTGCCCAGCTGCCGGAGCCTCGAAGATGTTCCTCGCATCTTCCTGCCGCTCCTCAAGGTTCTTGGCGTCTCGCTGTGGAGAGATGCTGCGTTGTTGCAGAAGGTCTGTCGCCTGACCAAAGTTGGGTTTCGCCTTGCCAATGCAGCCGACGCCTCAAACGCTACACCCATGGATGACTTTGACGACTTTGGCGAGCCCGAGCAGGACCCAGAGAGCCAAATATGGTTTGATGTTCTGCGGTTCCACCTCCTGCCGGCATTCTCGCTTTCGCCGTCCAACTCGGGCATTGTGGACGAGATCTGGATGCTGGTTCGCATCATGCCCTACGAGAAGCGCTTCTCTCTCTATGGCCAGTGGAAGAACGACCTCTACCAGTGGCCCGAGCTGCGTGCAGCGCAGGCTGCAACCGAAAAGGAAGCCAAAGGCATCCTCAAGAGAATCAGCAAGGACAACATCAAGCAGTCGGGTCGCAACCTCGCCAAAGCTTCGCATTCGAATCCGACCATCTTCTTCACCGTGGCTCTCAATCAGGTGCAAGCGTACGACAATCTGATCCAGCCCTTGGTAGAATCGGCGAAGTACCTCTCTCAGTTCGAGTACGACATCTTCTCCTTCAACCTGGTAGACGCATTAAGCAATCCTGAAAAAGAGCGCACCAAGCAGGATGGCACCAACATCAGCCTGTGGCTCAAGTCTCTGGCCGCCTTTTGCGGGACACTCTTCCGACGCTACGCTATGATGGACTGCACGCCCATTTTGCAGTACCTCGTCAACCAGCTCAAAGCCAACAACTCCAAAGATCTCGTCATCATGTCCGAACTCATCACCAAGATGTCCGGAATCGAGCCGCTCGCCAACCTCGCCGACGCGCAGATCGCAGCTCTGACCGGTGGTCGCCATTTGCACATGGAGGCGATGATGGCTGCCAACGCTCTGACGGGCAGCAAGGAGCGTATCGCCTACCGCCGCTCGGGCCAGCGTCTGCTCAATGCTCTCGTGGAAAGCAAGCTTTCCGTGCCGCTCCTCATCCTCGTAGCTCAGCAGCGCCAAGCTTGCATTCACCTTGTGCCCGAGAGCGAAGCGCACCTCAAGTACCTCGGCAATTTGTACGACTCGTGTCAAGAGGTGCTTCTGCAGTATGTCGAGTTCCTCTTCAACCATCTCGAAACGCCAGATTACGCCTCGCTCGTCCCTTCGCTGCAGGATCTCTGCGTCCGCTTCGGGATCGAGCCCGCCATGGCCTTCTATATTGCTCGACCCAAGCTTGTACACAGCATGAAGCAGATCGAGGCGGCAGACGCGGCAGACAAGCTTCGTGCCGAGCTTACGGCGAGTCGTGCAAAAGCCAAAGCGGCCGAGACGGAGAAAGAAATGCCGGATGCAGTTGAGGGGGGCAACGAAGGAAAGGAAGACGGCATTGTAGATACAACAGACGCCAACAAGGACGGCGATGTCGAGATGGAGGATGCCGAGACGCCACAGCCCGGTACACAAGATACGGAAAATGGCCTTAGCAATGTGAATGAAGCAAAAGTGGAAGACAAAGCCTTACCACCAGCGACAGGACCTTGGCATCGAGGCTTGTTGGATGCCATCGCAGCTGCAAAGGACATGCTACCCGAAGCCGCTCACTCGAGCCTCGGCGTCCATTTTTACGTGACGTTCTGGCAGCTCAGCCTAGCCGACATCAATGTCCCGATCGAACGATACCAGCAGGAAGTCAAGCGACTCAACGCTCTCATCCGCGAACCGGGCGTCGAGGATCAGCGGAAGCGACTCCTTCAGGACAATGTCAACCAACTCAACGCCGAGATGAAGGACCAGATGAAGTCGCACGAGGTCACACGAAAGCGACTCATGGCGGAGAAAGATCACTGGTTCGACGACAAGGCGGATCGTGGTGCCATCGTGGCGCACCTGATTCAGTACTGCTTGTTCCCGCGTGCACTGCTCTCGCCTACGGACGCCATCCTCGCAGGCAAGTTCGTCCGCACCGCGCACAACCTGGGCACGCGCAACTTTTCGAGTCTCACCGCCTACGACAAGATCTTTGTCGATCACATTGCAGCTGTCATCTTCTCTTCCACCGAGAATGAGGCTCGTAACTACTCGCGCTTCCTCTACACCATCCTTGCCGACCTCAGCCCCTGGCACCGTTCGGTCGAGACATTCAACAAGGAGGCCATCGGTCAGAAGCTGCCCGGCTTCCAGATGCGCTGGCACGATCGCAACGGCGGCGAGGAGATTCCTGCGGCCGATCTGCTGTCGTGGGAGCAGTTCCGAATCATCTTTTGCAAATGGCAGGACTGCCTTCAGAAGGCGTTCAAGAGCTGCCTCTCGTCCAAGGAGTACATGCGCATTCGCAACACGATCATTGTGATGACCAGGATCTCTCCTTTCTACCCGCTCATCGAGTCCAACGGTATAGAGATCAGTGCCATTGTCGAGTCGCTCGCAGCCAACGAACAGCGTGGTGACCTCAAGATTCTCGCCCAGGGACTGCTGGCGACATTGAAGGCTCGCATGAAGTCTTGGGTTCCGATGCATCAGGCCCGAGCGGTGCCGAATCCTCCGGCTGCTGCTGCCAAGGCGGAGACAGATGCGAAGAAGGACACTGACAAGAACGACGGGAAGGATGCAAAAGACGCTCGCAAACCGCAAGAGCCTGCAAACGCAAAGGAAGCAGCAGACGTTAAGGCAGCGACACAGCCAAAGAGGGATGCTGGTCCAGCCGCTGCGCCTCAAACCAACGGCGTTGGCGCGAAAAAGGAATCGGAAGACCGCAAAGCCAGCACGCCTGTCCCCTCCGGACCGCGAGTCTCGTCTGCATCGGCCGGTCAAAGCGCTCGCGGAGGCCAAACGACCAAGGTGCCTCCCAGCGCCAACCTCCCAACCCGTCCAGCCCTCCAGTCGCGGCAGTCGACCGCCTCCGAGCCCAAAGACCGTCGATCCGCCGGTCCACCTGCTAACGAACCTCGCCGAGCCGACGACCGCGGCAGCGCCAAGACCGATGACTCGTCCAAGCGTCCTGCGCCAGCGGAGCGTAGTCAACCCGCACCGCCATCCGGACCCCGCAACGACACTTCGCGAGACAATGGCCTGCCCTCGCGTCCTCCTCGCGAGCCTGCCTCCTTGGACGACCGCAACCGCTCCAACGGTGGGGCAGGGGACCGTCGCCCACCGGCCAAAATTACGCGCGAGCCTATCGAAAAGACTCCTGCCCAACTGGCCCGCACGGAACCGATGAATCCACCTGCCGGACCGGCTAGCACGACGGGTGCCCAAGCTGCGCGCTCTCGTGCTGATCGCGATCGAGGTGAGCGATCGACCTCTGCTTCACTGCCAGCCAAGGACGGGCGCGAGAGGGAGCGCGAGAGGGAGCGCAATGCGGATCGGGACAAGGCTCGCGCTGCGGACCGCGATCGTGAGCGAGAGCGGGAGAGGGAGAGGGACCGGGAGCGTGATCGACGGGATCGTGATCGGTCTGCTCGAGACCGGGATCGTGACCGTGAAAGGGAGCGAGAGCGTGAGAGGGAGCGAGACCGCGATCGTGCACGCGATCGGGATCGTGGGAGCAACCAACGCGAACGTGATGACAAGAAGCGTGGTGGCAGTGCGCAAGCCAGCCGCAACGGCACACCTGTCCGCGACGCTCCTGTGGACGGGGGCAGCCGTGGAAGCGGGTCCAATACACCGCTGGGTCCGCGTCGCGACCGCGAGCGCGAGCCTGCGGCAGCCACTCCGACCTCGGCACGCTCGACACCCGGCCCTGCGGGTGCGGGAGACGAGCTCAGCATCCGCGGAGGTGCCGAACGCAAGCGCACACTTGTCGACCGTCTGGGTGGCTCCTCCGCCCCCGTCTCGGGTGGCAACTCGCCGAGACCGACCGAGGCAGACGCTGCAGCCGCCTGGGACACCCCCGCTGTCGCTGACAGCGCTAAGCGGGTCAAGCTCGATCGTGCAAAGTACGTACCTGCTGGCCCGCCGACGGGTGTTCCTGAGGGCCCGAGGGGGGACAAGCGCCAGTCGGGAAGGAGCTCCTTCGGTGGCGGGAGGAGGGATCGCGATCGTCGGGATCGGAGTGCTAGGCGGGCGGGCAACGAGTGACACTTTTCACATCTCACTGGAATTATATACACAGTTCACACATCAGCTTCTCTTGAGGAACTCGAGCCTGAAATGAATGACATTGAACGCATTCACAGCAAAGCATGTCTCTCCAGGGCGGCCTTGTATGTCTGCGTCTGGCCCTGTTCGAGCGTCAAATCCCGCTTCAGCCGCTTGTTCTCCACCATCAGCTCGTGTTGTGCGGCCTTGGTGCGCTTGAGCTCCTTGCGCAGCGCCGCCAGTTCGATCGACTCCGGCGCCTGCGTGTGGTCGTACAGCAGATCGAGCTCTTCATTGAACGCCTTGTGCATCTCGGTGTTCTCCAGCCGGCCGTCGGCTTCCAACGTCGTGAGGAGCTCGCATTGACGCTTCAGCGCGCTCAGTTGGTGTTCGAGCTTCGATTTCTCCGAACGCAGCGCGTCTTCGTGGGCTGGAGTGGTTGTTGGTGCCTGAGAGGCGAGCGCGGTAGTAGCGACGTTCAAATCGTGCACGATGCGATTGTGCATTCGGATCGAGGAGATCCACCGCGCATCAACGTCGGTGAAGAGCGACTCGAGCTTTTGCAGTCGCGCATGGATCTGCGTCACCTCGCGATTGACAGCGGTGGTGTTGAGGTCGCGGTCCGCGAGAACGGTCGAGTCAGGTCGCTTCCGAGGTGTCCGCGAGTTCTCGATCGCCGTCAGGCTTGACTGCAGGATCTCAACGTCGCATCGTAGCAGGTTGAGTTCTTCTTTGACCAGACGCAGACCGAACTCCATCGCCTCGTTGCGTCGACGAGACTCTTGGGCTTTGGTGACGGTCGATGATGTGCGTGCAGGGGCGACGGGCGGGACAGATTGAGATGGCGCTTTAGAGTGCCCTTGCTCTGTGGACGCCTCGCTCTCGGATATGGAGCTGCGTCCGGGCTCTTCCACAGATGGCCGTTTGTGCGGTAACAAGCGAATCTCTTTCGACTCCTTGTCGAGGCCGTGAGAAGGTCGCTTCTTGAGCGAGCCCTCGCCACCGTTCCCCGCGACATCACCGTCGTACGAAGACAAGGGGCGTTTGGTGCCGGACGCGCGTCTCCTAGCTACCAGCGGGGCACCGTCATCGCTCTGATCCGCCTTACCATAAACACCCATGCAGGACAAAGGTCTGGCTCGAACCGGCGTGGCGACGTCCTCGTCCTCTGCCCCATTCTCCTTTGGCGCTGCCTTGCGACGTATGTTGAGCGGCGTCGTCGAGCCGTTTGACATCCACGACGGCGACAACGGCTCGGCTCGATGATCGGATCCTGGAGCCGGACTGGGACTCATCTGACCTCTCGGACCCGTAGGTCTCCGACTGAGGGAGCTCGGCGTCCTACAGAGATCGACCGAATCGGCCCTCTGGCGCTGCTGAGAAGAGGCCTGCGAGGTGGTTCCCGACCACGTCGGCGCGGACGGTGCTGCACTCTCGGTACGAGATCGAGTATGGCTTACAAAGCCGCGTCCGCCAATCACCGTACCGGTGCCGTTTCTTCGCGAGAGTGTCGAGGCTGGTGCACCGGCAGATGTCGAGAGCAACATGTTTGCATCTGGTGTCATGGCACGAGTGCGGCGCGGAACATCGTTCTCGTCGGCACTGTCCATGTCGCAGCGACTAGAAGCTGGTCCGACCGAGGACGATCGACGACGTCCAAACCTTCTGAAGGATCCAGGTGAGTTGGTCGTACCACCACGCGAGAGTCCTTCAAGTGCTGCGCTGCGGCTGCTGATGCTAGTGCCAGCTGTAGACATGGTCTTGCCTCTGCTGCTGACGGAGGCTGCGGTGCTACTGAAGGTGCTCTTGGAGGCGTTGCTGTCGCTGCGACGGGCCGGCGAGCCGAAAACGTCAATATTGGAGATACCGGCGCTTGAAATGCTGGATGCTGCGCCGCTACCACCGAAGAGGAGTGACCGGCCAAAGTTCTCTAAGCCCGCTGCAGCTTTCGCCCGCTGACGGAAACCAGATCCGGAAGGTGTTCCAGGCGGACTCAGCGCATGTGTACGAATGACACTGCCAAAGCGCTTCTCCACCTCGTCCGACAGCTGCACGATGTGGTCTGCAAGATCTGCGGAGGACAAGGCATGCGGCTCGCCGAGCACTTCGCCACCGCCATGGGCCGACTTGGTGCGAACCGTGGCAACGAATTCTTCCTCCATCTCGTCCACTTGGCTGATATCTAGGATGGCGTGCGGATGGGACAGGTCTGTGTGGCCAAGCTCGACTCGGTCAGAGATGCCCGGCGGGTCCACTGAGACTGCCACGGGAGCGCGATGCGACTCGTCGGCGTAGCTTTGCCGCGAGTGCAGCTGAAAGTAGATGACTTTGCGCGAATCCCGGAGACTCAATGATGGCTGCGGAGCACCGATTAGGATGTCGTTGGATCGTGCTCCGCGACGAGAGGCAGGCACAATGGTGCACCTGACCTCAGAGCGACTTCGGACCGCTTTGTAGAGCGCCTTGGCTTTCCACACGCTCTCGAGGAAGCGCATCTTTTCCAGCTTAGCCGAGACGTCGGCGTCGAGAGAAGATGAGCCCATCTGAATGCGAGAGCCGTGTGTGCCGGGCGCAGATGCCGACGTGTCGACGGCAACATACTGACGCAGAGGTCGGTTGGACCACTTGTCTCCAGTAACGTGGCTGGGTTGGCGAAGCATTGCAAGCTGCAAGTCGGCTCCGCCGAGATCCTGTGCTTCGACGTCCGTGAGGCTGATGCATCCGCGAAAAGACAATTCGGACCGTTTGCTGGGCGCGAGGATCGACCCGGTCGAGCTCTTCTCCGTGACAGTCTTCATCTGAGAGATGAGACGGCCGACGTCATCCAGACCAACAAGTTTGCGTCCGCTTGTGCTTGCATGGCTGCGCTTGACGATGGCGATGCGATCATCGAAGAGGAAAAGTGTGCAGGGTATAGATTTGATGCCGGAGAAAGACGCGGCAATGCTGGATGATCCTGCAGAAGTGTCTAGTGGGTAGTCGTCGACGTCGATGCAGTCGATGAACCTGCGATGCGCACTGATGAGCTCGGCTGGGAAAGCCTCGATGTTGCGGCTGAAGCTCCAGAGGATGGCGGCCCTGCGCGTCTTCTCGTCGGCCTCACAACTGGCGATCCGACTGACAAGCGAGATAGCCTGCTCGAGCCGCTTGCGCAACGGGTCGCCTTGCTCTACGTGTTTGAGAATAGCATCGATCAGAAGCTTGTACCGAGGGATGCGCTGAACAGGCTCCATCATGAGATCGCGAAGTCCAGTATTGCCGATGTCGGTGACGGAGTACTTTGTTCTGTCGGTAAATTCGCAGAAGGCGCGATGTTTTGCCAGGGTGCGCTCGATGTGCTTCGCCTTTTCGAAGTTGGCAAAGTAGTCGGTGTAGCAGGAGAAGCAGGACATGTGATTGTAGATGACTTCGCCGAGACCAGCACGGAGAGCATCGTGACCTTGCAGCACGAGACGCTCGAGATCGTTGAGGAAAGCGCGATTAGCGCCTGCAATCTCGCCGATGTTGCCGAACAGTCTTTGAGCTTCGTAGAGGGGTATAATGGCGGCAGTTCGGTCTTTGGCAAGGTCGCGAAGAGGTACAGCGTACTTTTGGTGTAGCACGTCGATGCGCTTGACGTAGCTGCGTTCTGTGTCGATGAGCTCCTGGACGCGGCCAAAGAGTTTGCTCGGATCGACCTTGGAGGATTTGGTGGGAGACGAAGGGCCAGGCGAAGCAACTGAGGATGAAGACACGGCGGTGATGCTGGAGCCGCTCGAGGACTTTGGCATTGGTGAATCGTCATCGCGAGCGGCTGACGCGGCAGCGGGATCAGCATCGTAGTCGTGAACGACATCGCCGAGCCATGCCTCAAAAGCTGTGGTACTACTGGTCTTGGAGAGAGAATAGGAGGACACAGCTGAGGTCAAGGGTGGTTCGACAATGACATCAAAGTAGAAGGCGCGCGAGAGGCTGTCGCTGACGCCCGAGCTGAGAAAGTCGGCTTCTGAAAAGGCAGCGAATGTGTTGGTGTGCGCGTCGGCGAGCGGGAGGCCATCGTAGCGTGTTGGAGTGTTGGTGGTGGATGTGCTGGCAAGATGTGAAGCGCGAACTGGAGTCGAAGGAGCGGGCGATCCGCGAGAAAGGTTTGCCACAATGCTGTGTCCTGCGCCGATGCCTGCGAACGGCGATTTGGGCAGGCTCCGAGGCGGCATGGTGAGAGACAAGGCACACGGGCGGGTACGCCTTTGGACGTCAAGGTCGACAGCTCTGTAGGCTTTCCATGTGAAGGAATGTGTGAGCGGATCCTTATGTGCCTGAGTCCATGCCGATGATGTGACCTTTGATGGACCGCTGAGACATCGGCGTTTCGTACCAGGAGATGATGGTGGACAAGATCAAGCAAGCAAGCAAGCCTTTCGAAATCTCGAGAGCAACACCAACACTTTTTTTTTTGGCCCCACAGCGCAGCCAACACACATCAAACGCGCTCAACGCGTGATTCAGTCCGCATGACCAGCACATTGTTTGTGTCTGTTAGAGCTGCTTTACGGTTGGCTTTTTGAAAAATCGACCAGGAGTTGGAAGTTGGCAGGTCAAAGGCAGCTTAGCTTACGCGGTGCAGCGAGCGACGTGGAGCTGCCCAACTGCCTTTTCTTCTCAAAATTGGCCCGAACGTTCGAGCAAGAAATCCGAGCTTAAACAGAGCACCACCTCACAAGGTTGCGCGCTCAGGCCCTAGTCGTGTGGCGCCGAGCAAAGACTGCGCACGCCGCTCAGTTCTGAACCCTGGTTGAGCCCAACACACCTTTCTTCGCTCGTGCCACCAACCATACCAGATTGCCCTTCTTCTCTTCTGTCACACATTCTTCCATTCGCACACATCTTGCACACATCAACATGACTGACCCAAACCAGAGCATCGTCGACCCTGTCGCTAACAACGTCCAGCCCGTCACCAAGAACGAGGACGACGACAAGAAGGTCTTTGCCGGCAACCTTGCTTTTGCTACCACCGAGGATCAGCTCAAGTCTCTCTTCTCCGAGGCTGGTAAAGTGTAAGTTGCATCCTCATTCTCGTGTTATCAGCGAGTCTCAATTCGTGCTGACCATACTGCCTCCATTATGTTGCCCTTCCACCAGCACACACGCTCAGATCATCACTCGCGGCACTCGTTCTCTCGGCTACGGCTTTGTCACCTTCTCCTCCGAGACTGAAGCACAGACTGCCATTCAGCTGCTCAACAAGCGCGATGTCGACGGTCGCGAGATCAGCGTAGAGTCCGCCAAGCCCCAGACTGCCGCCGACGCCGAGAAGCCAAAAGCACGTAGGACCCGTTCCAAGAAGGGCACCGAGTCGTCGTCGTCGTCGCGCGCGCCGCGTCGTGCTCGTGCTGATGAGGGTGAGGAGGGAGCCGCCGAGGAGGATGCAGCGAAGGCTGTCAACGGTGACGAAGCAAAGGAGGCTAATGGCACCAAGCCTTCCAAGTCCGCCAAGCGCAGGCAGAAGAAGAAGGCTGCTGCTGCCGCCGCTGGTGCCGATGGCGAGGCCGCTGCCACCTCTGGTGACGCAGCAGCCGAGTCGAGCGAAGCCAAGGCCCGCGCCCCCCGTGCCAAGCGCGAGCCCAAGGGCAAGCCCACCGGCGAGCCCTCCAAGACGCTCGTCTTTGTCGCCAACCTCGCCTTTGCCACCACCGACGACTCGCTCAAGGCCGCCTTCTCGGATTACAAGGTCAAGTCGGCCCACGTCGTCAAGCGCCGCAGCGGCAACCGCTCCAAGGGTTTCGGATTCGTCGACTTTGAGGATGCTTCGGAGCAGCAGCGCGCCATCGCCGCGGCGCAAGGCAAGCAGATCGATGGACGAGATGTCACTCTGCAGGTGGCTGTTCAGACTGACAAGGAGGACCAGGTCGAGGCTGCTGAGGCCACTCCTGCCGCTGCCGCCTAAGCAGCACTTCCACTTGCTTCACCTGGTCAGCTAGAACAGCCTGAGTATGCTCTCAGTGCGCATGTTGGCTCGGTGTAGCGCACCAAAATGTACAAATCAATGCAGAACTTAAGAGCATCAAACACGTTGAAGGTGAATAGATTGATGGTAGAGCCTTCAGTAGCTGGGCCGATTCTGAGTGGTGTCCAGCTCGTGGTGCGGTGTCATCTCGATGATCTCCTCGCCTGCCTTGTCCGTGTTCGACTCTGGCGAGCTGCTGCGTGACTGCCCGTGAGAACTCTTTCCAAACCCAAGTGACCTCCACGGCGACCTTGCCTTCGCCGGTCGCGGGCGATCCAATCTCGCTCTGCATGCGTCCACCACCTGCTGAGCCAGCAGTTCCGCCAGCAGCACCGCCGCACAGATCGCCAACGCCCCGTCCAGCGCCGCATCGCTCGGCGCGCCGTCAAACTCCGTAAACACCACCTGCAACAGCACCAGCACTATGGCAAATGCAAACCTCACCACCATCGCCAACCTGAACGACCGCAACCTCCGGTTCGCCCCGCTCTGCATGGTCTTGATCACAATGTCCGTGGTGAGGTACACGGCGCTGGCGACGTAGATGTACTTGAACTGGAAGAGCGACTTGACAATGTACTGGTTGATCGAGTCCGGGTTGATGACGTTGTCGGCGAACTCGAAGTAGGACTTGAACGGCAGCACGAGGGAGGTGGCGAATTGGGACGAGAGCGCGTTGTTGGCGTTGGTCACGTTCGCCTCTGCCATAAGGGCCTTCGCCCGGTCTAGGCCGCCGGAGAGTCCAACGACCGACGCTACGAGCGCCCGCGCCTGCTCGACAGTCGGAATGCTCGCTCCGTCGTTACTTTGGATCACCGCCATGATGCTCGCAACCCCCGCCAGCGCCGTGTTGTTCGACAGAAGGTCCGAACCATCGCTGTCGTCCGCCTGACTCGCCAGCGCGGACGTGATGTTCTGTGATTCGGTGCTGTTCGACAGGTAGAGCGCCGGGTAGTCGATGAAGCGGCCGAAGGCATTGAGCGTGTTCATAAAGGCGAGGATCTTCTTGAGCCCGATGACGAGCAGCGCCGATGCCATGTGCAGCACAACGTGAATATACGCCCACAGCACGATCAACACCGATCGCATGTCGATCTGGCTCGTAGCTCGATGAAAGTAGCCGCCGAATTGGAGGACGACGATGAGAACGCAGCTCACCGCTTGGAGGACCGTATCGCCGCTCCAGCCGCCGCTCTCGATCGATGGACCGCCCAGCGTATCATTGCGCAGCTTGGCACCGGGACTGATGCGATTGAGCGTCTCGGAGATACCCGTGAAGCCTTCGCCGAGGATGATCAGGCCAAAGAGAACAAGTCGTTCGGCCAACACGCTTTCGCCGAGGGGCGAGAGGGCGCCGCCCATCTCATTGAAGATCTGAGCTGCAGCTTCGATGCCGACGCCGAGGATCCACATGACCAGCACGGGTGCTCGGATCCCTCGGTGCCGCAGGAATCGACTGCAGATCCAAAGTAAACCGGACGCGACGAGCGCAGCGATCGAGATTAGGTGCGTCCGAATGATGCCGCTGATGTTGCCCGTCGGTCTCCCGTGCTGTCCACTGTGTTGAGATGGGATCTCGTCGAGCTCTTCCGATGGGCTTACCTGACTTTTGCCGTGAGCTACAGTGCCTACCCTTCGGACTTTGCGCCAGCGTACGAGATCGTAGACAAGCACCACCGCATAGTCGACAGCCAGGGCGATGCGAGAGGCGCCATAGATCAAGGTAAAGTTGGTGAAGCTGGCTCTCGAGAACTCGGAGGGTGTGGTGGAAAAACCGACCCACAGTCCCAGCACAGCAGCTCGAATGATACGCTGGCTCGACTTGAAGAGGAACGGATGCGAGTGCGAAGGACGCCGGTAGCGAACGTCAAAGTAGGCCTGGCTCCACCATGCCCACCAGAGCGCGGCAAAGTAGCCAGTGAAGGCGGCGACATCGCCGAATTTCTCGAGCGAGACGGCATTGCTGTAGGTGTTGAGGCAGGCGGCGAAGAGGAGGTCGAAGAGGAGATCGCTGTAGCTCGGAGCGTGTGATTCCTGGTGTGAGCCGAGGATGGCCATCTCGGTGCTTTGGGAGTCGTGTCCGGTTTGGCTGTCATATGGATGGTTCGGCCTTTGTCCGTGGGAACGGGAGACGTGGTCGGTGCGACGAGACAGAAGGGAAGCGTGGTCGCTTTCCTGCTCATCGTTCGGTTGATGAGAGCGCTGAGAAGAGCGAGGATGTGTTGTAGTGTTCTTCGGCGCAGTTCCACGTGGCTGCGATGCTTTCCACCCTTCAGTTCCATCGCCGGTATCAATCAACTTTGAATCGGTTTGTCCCTGCCCGGCGCCAGCAGGTTGTAGCTCTTCTCGATACGCTGTTGAAGCTGAAGTCGACATCCAGGGATGTTCGGTCTCCATGGTCGTCGTGCGAGACGGGCAGTGATCTTTGGGGGAAGAAGCTGCAGCCGCGTTGGTTGTCGCCATGGCTGAGCTTGTTGGCCGCATTGCACTCGGATCTGAAGCCTGACCGCTCATGCTTTCCGTCGCAGCCGCATGCCCTGTGTTTGGAGAAAGTGTAGCGGAGCTATGGACGACAGACTGAGGAGATGGCGAGGCTGCGCGGTACAAGCTGCGAGTGGTTGAGTCAGTAGAGACGATGCTATCACGTTATGAAACCCAAGGTTCATGCACCCTTTCAGACCGTCGAAAAGCTTAATTTGCCGAGCAATCAGCCGCTTTTGACAGGGGCTAGGGTCAGTCCCCAGCCAGCCCGGCGGCCGAGTTCAGAAGGGTCCACCTATCTCTTGAGCCGCTCTAGCTCATCCTTTGGATAGAGCCCTTCCATGGCATCAAGGCATCCGAGCTCGATCCTGCACAATGAATCCGAGCACGTCGATCTGCTTCAGCCGGCCAAAAAAAAAGAGCAAAAGAAATCGGAAGGGATTTCCAATTCATTTGCCTCCTACCAGGATTGAACTAGTGACCTCACCATATCGAATGTTAGTACGAGTGGCGCGCTCTCCCACTGAGCTAAAGAGGCGGAGATGATTCATATCAAGCACAGCGCATGATGCGTATATATACGCACTTGACATCAGTAGTATTCTACATCAAAACAGCATAAACGTCTTGCACAGCTCAGGCTTTGATACAGCTCATGAGCCTTTTGTGTAGAGCAGGAACAGCGACGACCTGGCATTCATGTATCACGCGAGAGCATAGCATACTTCAAGCTCAGTACCATCTGTGACGGCAAGCTGGCTCGACGTCTACCACAGTGAGAGAGCAGAAAGCAGGAAGAATTGGAAGCTTGATCGCCAAAATCTGCACAGCGCACGGACGCGTCTCTATGTTGCTTGCCCTTGATGTGAGGAAGACACCAGAGCTTTGTCCAGAGTGACACGCAGCCCCAAGGCTCGTTCTTATGTCTTTGGTTCATTCTTGGACCACCTCGTGCCTAGCCGGACCTTCCACACCGACGTTCTATCGCGCCGACGCAAGGAAGAGATGGCGCCCTCATCTTCTTGGCGTGGTAGCTCGGCCAGGAAGGCGGGCGATTTCGACGATCAGGCTTGGGGCATTGAATCCGACGACGATGACTTTGTCACCCAGATCGCACCACGTACCAACGTACCACGCAGCCTGAAGTCGTCCTCTCGCTCTTCGTCATACTCCTTGACCGGCCAATCGCAGCAGCAGCCTCAGCAATCCAGCTCACGATCCGATCAACTTCGCAGGCAGCCTTCGACTTCCTCGCAGAGGAGCGACTCTTCCACATCAGCAGCCGCCGTTGCAGCAACAACCTCGATAGCGCGCCAAGGCTCACGCAACCGACGCACAAGCTGGACCGTCGTCGATCAACAACGCGCCTCGCCTGATCATCTTGCCTCCGACCTCGCAGAGGCAGTCGCTTCAGGGCTCGCCCTTGATCGAGGCAAAGACCTCCATTCTGGAGCAAGCGGAAGCGGCTTCCAACTCGTTGACGATGATTCAAAAGCTGCAAGCTCAAGCGAGGCAGAAGAAGTGGACCTCGACACGGGCAAGACGGTTCGCCGGCGGCGTTCATCGGCACGTAAACCCAATCCAGGCTCGACCGAGGCAGATCTACTCCGGCAATCGTTGCGCAGCGATCTAGATCGCTTGGTTCGCGATCCAGCGCATGCTCTGACTCGCATTGCCGCGGAGTGGGCCGCTCCTCCTTCTCGCAACTCCGGTCCAGCCACAGAGGCAGCTCCCGACTCTGCACCGCCTTTGACGACTACGAGCGGCAGAGGCGTAGCGCCTACGCCGACCGCTCAAGAGTTCACATTCGACCCCATCGCTGCAGCAGGAGACGGTCTCATCATGACCGGGCCCAGTTTTGTCGACACGGCAGCAGCCAGCCGCAGCATCTCGAATTCCTCATCCTACGCCTCGATTTCAGCAAAAGACGCTGCCGTGGCACTCCAAGACGACACAGACGGAGCGAGCAACGGAGCGGCTGGCAAAGGCGGCGCCACACGAAGACGCAGCGTACGCTCATCCAGACGCCGACAGCAACTCCTTAGCTGTCTGTCCAAGCAGAGCGTCGACATTGCTCAGCTTCGCACTCTGGCGTGGGCGGGGGTGCCAGATGAGCTGCGACCCATCGTCTGGCAACTTCTCTTGGGCTACTTGCCGGCGGTAGCGTCCGTGCGTGCTTCGACACTCTCTCGCAAGCGCGCCGAATACGCAGCAGGCGTGGAGCTTGCCTTTGCAAAGGGCATCGCAGCGCTCGATCAAGGCATCTGGCACCAGATCCACATTGACGTCCCACGAACTAATCCAGGCATCCGTCTCTGGCAGCGCGAAGCAACGCAGCGTGCTCTCGAGAGGATCTTGTACGTCTGGGCCATCCGACATCCCGCCAGTGGCTATGTCCAAGGCATCAACGATCTCGCCACTCCGTTCTTCCAGGTCTTCCTGAGCGCCTACATCGAGTCGGATCCCGAATTGTTTGACGTGGCTCTGCTACCACCAAACGTGCTCGAGGCTATCGAAGCGGACACCTTCTGGTGTCTCTCCAAGCTGCTCGATGGCATCCAGGACAACTACATCTTTGCACAGCCTGGGATCCAGCGGCAGGTGCGCCGTCTAGGAGAGCTGGTCGCTCGTATCGATGCGCCTCTGCACTCACATCTGCAAGAAGAGGGCGTCGAGTACATGCAGTTCGCCTTTCGCTGGATGAACTGCTTGCTGATGCGCGAGATGAGCGTACGCAACATCACACGCATGTGGGACACCTATCTGGCGGAAGGACCCGACGCATTCTACGACTTTCACCTGTACGTCTGCTCGGTCTTCCTGCACAAGTGGACCGATAAGCTCAAGACGATGGACTTTCAGGGCATCATCATGTTCCTGCAGTCGCTGCCCACACAGAGCTGGTCCGACAAGGACGCAGAGATGCTGCTTAGCGAAGCATTCATGTACAAGACGCTCTTTGGCAACACGGCGCACCTGAACAAGTAGCAGTCCTCGCACAAACACATTCAAATCAATGCCAATCGCATGATGCACATGAAGCGCTTTGATCGCCTTGAGCCTGGCGCTGACAAGAGAACAAAGCTTTACTCCTCTTGGAGCTTGTCCGCCGGCTCGTCCCGGGAGATGTTACCTTGCAAATGTGCCAACACACGATGCAGCCGGCTGTCTAATCGAAAGCCTGTCCAGCCGAGATGGCTCGGCGACGGTCGGCTCTCGGAGCTGAACTTGTCCACTACTTTCTGCCACATGGCCAGGCTCCATTCGGCATGATCGTTGCTCACCCTTCGGATTGCCGTCAGAATCCAGAAAAGCTCCTTGGGCACAGGTCCGCGTCGGATGGCATCCAGCTGCCTCTTCTCGGTCGACGTGAGCCAGCCGAAAGGCGTGGACACTCGACGATCCAAGAGCTCGCGTCTGGCGTCCAGCACTTGTGCTGTTTGTGACCCAGGAATCGCTCGCTGCATCTCTGGTTCCAGACCGAGGAAAGCGTCGAAAATGGGTTGGAAAGTGTCGATCGTCCACAGCTCGAGCTGCTGAGCGTGCTTTTCCTCCTGCAACGGCTGAGGCGCCTCTTCGACTTCACCCTCGTCCAGAAAGGCTGCGTCTGGCTTGGATACTGGGCCCCATGAGGTGCTTTCCGGCGAATTCGGATCGAAATCGATCGCCGCACTCGGCCTGCCGTAGCGTGCGAAGCCGCGGAAGAAGCTGATGAACATGGGCACCGTGGCTTGCATGCTCTTCTCTTGCTTGTCCTGGCTGCTGTTCCTTCTCTGACGAGTCCGGTCCGTCTTTGAGCCCGCCGTAGACTGTCTCCTTGGCGTCGAGACCAGATCCTTAAAGACGCCCAAAGCGTCCGCGAACCGCCCTTCGCGAGTCAGGCTGTTGATCATCAAAGCATGAGTGATCTCGTCCGGGGTGATGTGAGCTGGCAGACCGGACAACCCGAGCACTGCTTCAACTGCGCCATTCTCGTGCATGTCCAGACTCGTTTGCGAACGAGACGAGCGTGCCGCCTCGTTTCGATCTGGCCAGGCGAGCGGTCCCAGCTGATCCTGTGAGTCGGCGCTGTGTTCGGGACGGTCCCTTTGCATCCTTCCATAAGCGATGGACGCGTCCTGGGACGCCAACTCGACGCGCACTAGGTTCTGTCGCAGCTGTCGATAGACTTCCAAGGCGCTGTCTGCCGCATCTGCAGGAACATCGTGGCCGTTGCGTTGGCGGGACTTTGAAGTTGGCCCACGAGCGAGCCAGTGCGAAAGCACGTTATTGATACTGTCGATGCTGAGCGCTCCAGTGTCGTTTGCAGATCGTATAACGCGATGCACCTCGCTCCACCGGTCGAGCAGGCAGTACATGGTGATCATGATGTTGAACGTGACTGCGTCCGGCTCGATCCGACTTTTGCGCTGCATTCGGTCCAGAACAGTGTGGAAGAGTCGATCCGCGCGCTCGAAAGCATCAAGATGCAACGGTGCTGCATCGACGTCGAGGTGGAACCGTCGCAGTTTGCTGGTCAGCGAAGCTTCGAGCTGAGCCGCCTGGGAATCGAGTTGCTGCTCGGCGAATTTGGTCACGACGTCGTCGTCGGCCTCGTCCTCGTCGAACTTCTGCTCGTACTTAGAGGAACCGGCAGCGGTCACTTTGCTTCGATGCACTGTGCCAGTGATAATGTGAAGGATCGTGTTGTAGGTGGCGAGATCAGGAAAGTCGCATTCGGGTTGCTTGCCTGGCCGTTTCCTCAACGCGCTCTGCACAACTGGAGAAAGTATCGCCGTGCGCAACTCATGCAGCGCGTTGGTGGGCACCGTGGGAGTGGATGACTGCGCGAAGCTCCCCCTGTGATCCGCTGCTTTTCGGCGAGACTGTTCGTTGGCCTCGTAGGTCAAAAGTTGATCCAAGACCTGATCGAGTTCTTCGAGACCGGCGGTGCGGAGACTGGTGCCGATCTGGCCGATGATCATGGTGAGCAGCCGTGGCGAGATGACGCTGTCCCATTCTTCCAGTTCGCTGTTGAGGAGATGGATGCGAGAATCGTCGTTGATGTCGTGGGCGTGCTGTAGTTGAGTCAAGATACGACGCTGCTGACCTCGAACGTCGGACGACAATCTCAAAATCCGGTTGAGGCCTGCTTTTGTCCTACTTCTCTCTCCATTGATGATGGCAGCAACGGCTTTGCATTCTTCTGCAGTCAGCGCGGAATGTTGCTCTGTTTTGTTTGTCGAAGAGAGTGAGCGCCGTCCACCGGTGGTCTGTTGCAGATCGAGATAGGCAGACCAGACAGCATCAGCCGAGCCGCTCTGGAGCGCGGCGTGAAGCTGGCTCAGTCTCTGTGCTCGACGCTGTCGAAGGTTGAGATCTTCCTGTCCGCCCTCTTTCGATGTCGCAGGCGTCAGGGTCGGTATCAGCGGTTGCCTCGAATCTAATCGCAGCAAAGCCGCCTGTCGCTTTCCTCGAGTGCTGGGACGTTTCTTGGGCTGATCGTGGACACGATCATTGGCCTTCCACGCGGGAGAGTGGCTGCGACTCGAACCTGCAGATGCTGTTGTCTTCGATCTGTGTGCCGTGCTGAATATTTCTGTCGATCTGTCGATTCTCTGCTGACTAGATGCAGCCGAGCACGAGCTGGGACGAGAGCAGCAGACGTACGTAGCTCTCGCCAAGCTGAAAGCCCTGACAGGCAGCGGCGAGGCAGCAATGAGACTCATCGAGATACCTCACGTCATCGTCCGCCGTCTCTCCTTCAGCGAACGATGGGAGAGCGTTTCGACGCGGGAGGTTCAGGTGAGTGAGGTAGTAGTCGCGCAGAATGCAGAAGGAGCGAGGCGGTCGATCTTCCAAACCTAAAATCTGTCGGGGAATTCTCGCACCATCAAATTCCGAAATCCGACACCTGAGTCTTGAGTCCTTCTGAGTCTTGAGTCTTTTGGTCTTGAGCCTTGAGATCTGACCACACTGCAGACCCCAACCCTTGGGCAACCTCTCTTCTTGCCCCGTCTCAACCTTTTGCAAGGGATACCTTGCCCAGTTCTCAACACATTTCCTTTTTGATGAGGTGCTTGCCTATGATCAGATGTTCCCTTGTCGTCTGATTGCACACAATGTTGGCCTCCAACCCAAGCTTGACTCTCAGCTTCCACCTTTGCATCCTGCAGCAACCCACAACCGGCTCTGCCTTCAGTGCTCACCTTCTTTCCCGCAGCGCTCTTGCTCCGCCACTCATTCTTGAGGTCAAGGCGACCCAAGATGGGCAGCCCACCAATGGCTCCGCCAAGCTTCCTTCTCTGACCGTCCAGTGCTTGCTAGTGGACAAGCAAGGGAGGTTGGCGGACATGTGCCCTCAGCCTGCCCCTGGTGGGCCTGGTGAAGCAAGTCTGGCGCTGCCCTTGCTGGCGCGTTTGGGCAAAGATCAAAAAATTTTCAACTGTGGGCAGTCGACCATGTATCCTTCATCCACAGCCGCCCTGCCTGCAACAGCTAAGACTGACCTTGTCAGCATGCTCTATGGAACACTTGCAGAGAGCCTGAGGCAGTGTGTGGCCCCTGACAAGGACAAGGAGAAGGTGTACTTTTTCTTCCCTGAGATCAGCGTCCACTCTCCCGGCAAATTTAGAATCATTTGCCCTCTCATGCGCCTCTTTGCGTAAGTGTCCACCCCCTACTTCTACCTTCTCTTGCCCTCTTGTGCACCTCTTTTCTTCTACAGACACAGAGAACATTGTAAGGGGTACCGTGCCTGATAGCCAACTCGAGGCTCGACTCCTGAGTTCGGCAGGGGCAGGGCCACTTGTGCCGAAGTTGTCTGAGTTCGCTGCGGCTGGCAGTGGCTCTGCCAAAGAGGGAGCCGGCTATCGACTGGCCCTTTGAACACTCCGTTCAGAGGCAGCTTGGCGTAGCTCGCTGGTGTACATATAGCTCCCACGCCCCGTGAGTGTTCTTGACGGCGGCGTAGAGCTGTGGGTGATCAGGTGGGGTTAGGGTTTTATGGCAACGGTGGAATGATGTTGGTGCGTCAGTGGCCTGGCAAGACGGTCCAATTGAAATTTCAAGTCGGGAAATTGAGGGTTAGGGTTAGGGTTAGGGTTACAAGGGGTCTCCCGGCCCAGGTCAAAACATTCCTCAAATCTGTATTAATGAGAGTTATAGAGCGTATCAAGAGCTGCAGAAAGCACTTGAGTTTGCCTTAAAGTTTAAGAAATTGACGGAGATACAGCCCTCCAAAGTTGGTGGCCAAGATTCTCTCGGGGAAGAATATATTTTTTCTGACAGCGTCTGATGCCAGATGTGATGGATAGTACATGTAATAGAACCCATGCAGACACTATACACATACAGACAGGATCATATTTGCAGGCGTTGACGGAGCTATAGCGCTTCCCAGTTCAGATGTAGGTACCTCAAAGGTACCTTGACCTGAGGTTGGCAGAGGTTCAGGGGGGGTACCAAAGGTACCTTCAGCTGAGGTTGAAGGTACGTTGGCATCCTCAGAAGGTACTACCAGCCTAGGGTCTAGACAGATGGTCAAGTCTGGTGACAACTC